GCTCTCCAAACAGCAATCACAGTCAAACGCATTATAACACAATGTAAAGACAACTATTTACAACATTGGAAAGAAGAAACTAAAAGCCAAAGTAGATTAGAATGTTACCTGGCTCTAAACAGAGAGTATGAGCTGGCAGAATATCTCTCTACTGTCAGAGATAGAAAGCAGAGACAGATCCTAACCAAGTACAGGCTCAGTGACCACAAACTGGCAATCGAAACAGGAAGACTCAAAAGATCCTGGCAACCAAAAGAGAACAGAATATGTGGTCACTGTACGACAGGTGAGACTGAGACAGAGATGCACTTCCTCCTGAAGTGCCAAACATTCAACGAAGTAAGGAGTGTTTACTGGAACAAGTTGAACTCTGTAATCCCAGGTTTCAAGGAGGTTGATGACCTCTCAAGACTGAGAGTACTCCTAGGAGAAGGAGACAAGGCACATCTTGCTGCCCAATATGTATACACATGCCACAACCTGAGGGACAGTGAAACACACACACACACACACACACACACACACACACACACACACACACACACACACACACACACACACACACACACACACACACACACACACACACACACACACACACACACACACGTGTTGAAATGTAATTGTATCACTGTATATATATATCATCAATAATATGTAAACATTTGAAATGTATGTTAATGTTGTTAATTATTTTGTATTGTGATGCTTTGGCAACATTGTTTAATTTAACTTTCATGCCAATAAAGCCCCTTTGAATTGAATTGAAGGAATCGCATCAATTAAAATAAATGTATGGCAAGTATGATCAAATTAACATAATGTCAAGATATAGCCAATAGACAATCAACATGCTTGAATATAAAGGAAGAACAATAAACAGATGAACATTTAGGTTTTATGTGTAAATTGTGAACAAACCATCTTAATACATCTAGCAGTTTAAGACAGCAAACTAAGCTTCTTTAGCTGCTGCTAGAACACAGTTTTACCATGGGGTATTTCTAACAAGACCAAAAAGATATACAAGGCTTCCAAAACAGAAGAAACCAACTCAATACAGTATTTTTAATTTCCTTCAAAACGACAAAAGCACTAATAAAAACCAAATAACAATAACATAAAGGAAAAGTACTTGAAGTGGTTGCCTGTTGTAAATACCTTGGTATCATGGCTTGATGATTGTCTCTCTTTTAAACCTCAGGTCAATAATCTGCTTAGAAAGCTGAGGGTTAGGCTAGGTTTCTTTTTCAGAAATAAGTCCTGTTTCTCGCTTGAGGCCAGGAAAAGGCTCTGTGACCTTTTGACCTGTGCTGGACTATGGTGATCTGATCTATATGTATATATATATATATATATATATATATATAGATATATATATATATATATATAGATCTATATATAGATCTATACCTGCCCATTACCTGAACAAGTTAGATGCCGCCTATCGCAGTGCGCTGAGATTTGTTACTAACTGTAAAGTACTTACTCATCACTGTACCCTGTATGCCAGGGCAGGTTTGCCTTCTCTAACTGTACGGAGGCTCAGTCATTGGTACATGTTCATCTATAAAGCCATGTTGGGTCTTATATCTGCTCTCTGATCACACGGAGAGATGCAAGTAGCTATTGCCTGAGATCTCATGATGTGTTTTTGTTACATGTGCCAAGTGCAAGGACTTGAAACTGAGCAATTTGGTTCCACTGCATGATTTTAAAGCTCTGATAGATGATATGCAATTTGATACTGTTGGTACCTGTCATTGTCGATAGGTATGTAAATGTGCCCTGTAAATATGTTGTATGATGTCCTTTTTGTTTTCTGTTTTCATGTGTAACCGACTTGCTGCAGGTCTCCCTTGAAAAATAGATCGACGATCTCAATGGGATTCACCTGGTTAAATAAAGGTTTGAAATTAAATGACATCTGATGTTAGAAATATGAATATAAGACTAACAATTATAGTATGTTTGCTAAATGAGAATATTTGTATCTTATAAAATAATTCCTATAACAAATACTTATTTAAAATAAATAATCATATCTTCCCTCTAAATGGGCGGGCTTTATTTTCGCGGACTTTATGACAAGTTCGCCCACTGTGCGAAATGCAAGTGGTGCAGTGACGCATCCTAAAACCCGGAAGTAAGCCGCGCTCGGATTCCCTCGACAAAAAAGCAATGAGATTTCTCCATAGGGTTTTGGAAAATGGCTGGAAATAAGGTCTGTGGGAAACGTACCTGTTAGATCAGGGGTGGCCAACCCGCGGCTCTCGAGCCGCATGCGGCTCTTTGCCTAGTTTCATGCGGCTCTTCAGTTCATATCGAATTGTATATGTGTGAGTTTGGGGGAGAGCCACTGACTCCTGACTAGTGTTGTACGGTGTACCGATACTTGAAAGGTACCGCGATTCCCTGCCGTTAAAAACGTTACTAATCCTCCGTTTCATTAGTATCGATACTTTAAGAATGACGGGGGAAAGTACTCCGGTGAGAAAGCACCGTTTAATAAGAGCCGTGTATGATCAGCGCTCTGCTTCCATTCCCTGCACTGCAGCCGTGCCTGCAGTCCCGCCCCTCTCAAGCACGCTCTAAGTCCCTCCCCTCTCTCATGCACGCGCTAGCTGCCAGAGCATGTGAGAAAACGAGAAGCATGGCTGCAAGTGGGAGTGCAACTGCCGCTGCGCCTCGGCTTGTTGACAAAAAAGACGCCAGAAGCGACATTTGGAAGTATTTTAGCTATATCTCTGACAGTGAGGACAAGCCTACGGACACCACGAGGCCTGTCTGTGAGAAATGTATTAATTTTATTTAATACGAATTATTGTCATTTATTTTATTTATTGTTCTCATTGTTTAAAAGTTTGTGTTATGGTTCTGGGGTGAAATAAAGCACGATAATTACATTTAAGACTGTTTCCCTTTTTTTAAGAAAAGTATCGAAAAAGAATCGGAATCGCAATTCTTGACTTGGTATCGAAAACAAAATGTTGGTATCGTGACAACACTAGCTAACTACTCCTGACAGTTAAACCTGATATTTAGTAGGTCTGTTAAGTATTGAATGCTGATAATTCTGACGTAATTTGGCCGGTCAAAGTTGTTTGGGCTCGGATAAAATCGCTCCGTTACTTTCGCTTCGTCCCGTGTTACTTTCGTCCCGGCTCTCCCTACGTGTGTATGTGTGGTGTCAGTATGAGAGGATGACAGCGTGTCTAATTTTGATGTGACCCAAGAGCCAATCACAATAATACCTGTGATGCTGTGAACCAATCACCTTTGAGGAGGGGAAACCTATAGTTGATTAAACACTATCCAGTGTTTCCCCTACCATTGTCTTGGAGGGGCGCTGCACCCCGCCAACGGAGCCCCGCGCCCCCCCTGGAATTCAAGGTGTTTCAAAAATATATATAATTATTATTTTTTAATATATACATAGCACCAAATTGCAAATAATCTATAACTACTGTCACTTTTCACATTGAACATGTGCTCTTTTATTAAATAAACTAAACGCTTTCATTTTAAGTTGTGAGTTTATTGTTTTTGACCCTAAGAAACACTGATGCATTAATCAATACCAATAATCCACAGCTCCTCTCTCTGCTCCAGAGGATTTAAAAAATATATATCCCAATGCCACAAAAATGCATCAGTGACGTGGTTGAAATCTTGTCTCCAGAAAACAAAAAACTGAAACAAGCGGTATCAGTGACTGTGTGTTTGATGTGGCTCTTTGCAGTAACATAGAAAAAATGTGGCTCTTAACCTCTGACTGGTTGGCCACCCCTGTGTTAGATAAATGCACGTTTTGTTCAGCCAGATAATATCCACATGTCTACCCTACTTTTATTATTTTCAAATCATAAATCTAATGGATAGATTTATGATCGATAGATTTATGATTAGCATAAATGTGTTCATGATGGCTCACTTTAGTGATGACATCGTTGCTAAATTATTAACTGAGTCATTTTCAAGATTGAGTTACAATGATAAATTGAATAAATGAGTGGCAAAGGATCAGCTGAATGACCCGCCATCAAGTGCTTCATCCAAAAGGACAGGAGGATGGACTTTGTGTTCAAGTGATTTGATCATCAAAGGTAGGCCTTGTCAAAAGTCGACACGGCGGCCCACATTGACTTCATTCATTTGTAATTGTTACTTGGCTGTGGGTGCCCTGTCATGATAGGTGTTTATATAAATCATGTTGTTTTGTGTGGTAGAGGGTCGCTGTCATTGATGCGTTTTGCACCCCGGGACGCTATTTTGATATTCCGCTGAAGTATACGCTGTGACGTAATAACTCTTCTTTTTTTTCGAGGAAAGGGGGGGGGGGTCAGAGGGCCTAGGTATAAAAGTCACGGCTCGCCACTGATATGTATGTATATATCAACTCCTGAACAACAACAAAAAGCCCACTTTTTATCCAGTTTGTACACAACGATGGAGAGACTTAACAAGCAGCAGTGGTCCACTGAAGAGACCAGCTACCTACTGGGAATCTGGTCTTCCGAAGAGGTACAGAGGAAGCTGGAGCACAATCGGCCATTGTTGTTGTTGTCGGTATGAGCTGTGAGGGGTTTCCGCGCGGTTTGGCTTTATGAAGCAGGCACGCAAACGGTTACGTCATGATGCAAACGATGACGCAATGAGGCAGCATCAGTTGGACTCTGGGCGGTCTGAAAAGAGCCGGAGCTAAACCGAAGAACCGGTTCTGAACCTGAAAAGCTCTAGCACGGAGCTTGAACTGGAGTTGCGTTGGTGTGAATGAGGTATGTAAGGAAGTGGCCGATTTTTTCCAGTTGTGTATTTTCAAATTCTAGCGCACTCGAGCTGGTTTATCCAAAATTACCCACCCAACCTTTAAATGAATAAAACGATAGAACCATGTTGGTTGTATCTACTCCATCTAACCAGCAGCTTACTGCCATTTCACTTTGTGATTAAATGTAAAATGTGTAATGACTCCTTAGATAATGACTCCACACAACATAACATTTTAATCAATATATATTTTAATGTCAACTCATGCATAAGTATTATACATTTTGACATGGACATTCATTACAGGGAGGTTTTAAAAACAGTTCTTCCATCATTTGGTGACAATGGTTTCAGCTACATTAGTCATTTCTGTGTTTTATCATTTCAGAGGTTACAAATTAATCTGATTATGTTAACAATGATGTTGGAATTACTGAATTAGATACACAATAAGTGTGGCGGCGATAAAACTTGTATTCTACATGGAATGAAGGTGCAGTAAGTACATGGGAGAGGAGAATGGAAGAGGATATTTCATTGTGAGACAAACAATCTGAGTGTCTGAAAGTCAGATCTGACAGAATAAATCAAAGTGCTCCCCACCAATCAGAGATATTGACGTGATGAATCCGGTGTGACTGCCTTTAAATGGAAGCAGTCGATCTACAGATGTCCTGATAATCATCAGATACTTTGGCTGTTTTTTTATATTCTGTTAATTCCTAAAAACATTGATCTAAGGTAGCAAAAGGTACATCATGTCTGACTAACTTTAATTTAACAAAATAAATCAAGTCTTTATTCTGTCTCATGATCAGTATCCTGTGTTTCCGCCCAACAACAGCCAGCTGATTCCTCCTGAATAATTTAAATAAAGATTTATGTGCTGCAGTGAGTGAGAGGACTTTGATCCTGAGGTGAACGACACAACAACGTTAATCTCTCTCCATCGGAGAGAGGCCACACCCTCCTGCCCCCCTCAGCGAGGGAGGGGCCTCCTCATGGATTCCATCTTGCTGTACAAAGGAAGCCTCCCCACTGATGGTAACTACAGGTGAGTGGTTCAGAGTGTTCTTCAGCATCCTTCATGAAGATATGCGGCCCCTCCTCTGGGCCCTCCTCAGCAGGTAGACCAGCCCCTTAGCCACGAAGGGCCACAGCAGGAAGAGGAGCACGGTCTGACCCGACACGTCAAACAGCCCCCACCGCTCCTCCTGGGGGGACAGTGGGTACCAAAGGGTATTAAACCTTATGTGTTCTGCTTTTTCTGCTTCTCTCTCTCCTGTAGTGTATTCTAGAGGTGTTGTGCAAGTCAATTTAGCAAGGCTAAAATCTCTGTGTTCCCAGTTCCTCTCCCACCCTAACCCTAAAAACAATAGTCTGAGGAAAAGGAGATTAGATTCATAAGCAAAACACCTCTGAACTCTGAGGTTCATTTATGAAAAAACAACAAATGTATTCTCTGAGACTTTGAAGTAATACGTTCACCTGAAATGTCTAAGAAACTGAAAATACTTGAGGTGCTCTTAAAGGAGTTGCATATATTTCTAAATAGATTCAGTGAAACTAATTGATGGTGTCTGTAGGCCGATGGAGCCACGCTGCCCCAAGTCTATATTGTTGATGGCACCTTAAGAAGAAGCTCTTGTCTTTCATTGTACTGACGATAAAGGCTTATTTTCTATTCTGTTATTAATTTGACAACTGTATTTTAAACTGTTTCGTAAAGGGGTATTGACAAAAATAAAATGGCATATACAGTATATAATTTATCTTGTTTTGAATATGCTGCTTCTCTCTTACCTGCCGTTTTGCAGCTGCGGCGGCACACTGTGCGCACGTTCTCCACTCTGACCCCTGAGCCTGCAACACAAACAGCCGTGAGCCTCAGAGAACACACTAACATTCATTCAAACACAACATTGGAAATAATCTGTGCTTGCATTTCTGCCAGAATTTCCAACCATGTCCTTCTCCAGAGGACAGCATGACCACGGGCAGAAGGACCTCCAGCTGCTCCAGTCTAAATACTGATATGAGATATTGTGCTAGGTTTATTATTAGTCAAAGCTTAACTTAGAAATCTATTTATCAGCTCAGATCAGCAAAGCTTTTAAAATTACAAGATGATCATTCTCCATTCGAAAACAAATCATTAATTCAGGGTTCCTACTAATAGGTATCATTATTTAGTTATTTCGTCATTCTTTTTAAGCGTTTATTGCAAAAATATGAGTGACTAATTATGCATTTTTGGTCATACCACTGTAGCAGGGTTTCCGCTAGGATTTTTTCTCGCCGGTCAAATGTCCGGACAGAATTTATTTTACCGGACAAATTTGAAAATTACCGGTCATATTTCAATAATAATAGTAAGAGTTGTGTAGCAGAGTTTCCGTTAGCAGGTAATTACCGGACTATGAGCAGATATGCTTCAGTTTAAAACTCAGTTAATGGGCTCATTTTTATATTGCTTCAGTCTATAATCGTAACAGATCGAAAAATTCAGATTCATTTTTCAATAAATGATTCCACAAACAACAAACAACATAATTATTACATTCAAACAAACTACTTGTAGTAGCCTAGATAACGTACATTATTCAAAAGTTTACATTAACTTTGAATAATAACACGGGAGAAACGGATCATCTCTTTTCCCCTCTCCCTCTCTCTCTCTCCTGACAGCCCGTCAGTTTCTCATGCAGCACGCTAAACAGAGGGCGGGGCTTCAGGTGATTATGCAGAGCTGCGTGTCTCGGTCTGACTCAGCAGCTGATCTGATCTCTCTCTCGCGTGTCCGGTTATACTTCACTCGCGTTTATGTCCATATCGATCAGATCCAGCTCTCCTGATCGTTCTTTATATAGAGCACCGATCAAACTATTAAGAGTGAATATCGGCCGATAATGACCGGTGGCCGATCTATCGGAGCCTCCCTAATTATTACCAGACATTTTGACCGGCAGGTTTTGAATTTACCGGTTTTTAATAAATTTTACCAGCTAAAAACCGGTAATTACCGGCTAACGGAAACCCTGCACTGTAGTAAACCAGACAGACAAGAGACAGAGAGCTTGGTGAAATTCTCTGAGCTCTGTGTGTCTCAGAGAATGATTTGGGTTATGAACCCAGACACAGAGCTGTGTGTTTCCCAGAGTATCTGGAACTTGCAACATGATCAAAGCAGCAGCGTGGTTATCTCTATAGGACCCCCGCCAGTTCACACAAATGATGGTGTGAACTGGCGGGGGTCAGACCTGCACAAGTAGCGCAGGGCAGAGATGGGCTCTGCACCATGACACCGTGCTCCTCACAGAGCGTGCTGATCTTACATGTGTGGCAGCGAGCCGCTCCACCGCCTCCAGCCGCTCCATCACGCTCCTCATGTCCTCCCTCAGCCGGCGCAGCGCCAGCACGATCTGCTGCTGCAGCTGGGCCTCGTGCAGCCTCTCCACCCCCCCCTCAGAGCCGTCCCCGCCGCCTCGGCTGGCGCCGCCGCGGCCGGCACCTCCTCCCCTCCCTTCCACCCCCCTCCTGGGACTGCCTTGGGGAACACCACCTACACAGCAGAACAGAATATATGAAGCTCATCCATCAGTAAAATAACTAAGGTGGGGGGGGGAGAAAAAGAAGTTTCTAGTGATGCAGAGATATTGACTACATTAAAAGACTTTAAATAATTACTTCAGAAATACTATTTTCACACTCATAATCAAAGACGATTCTCTGCTCTAACAACTTCCACAATTATCTGATATCCACGCCAGTGATAAGTCTAGTGCCTATTTGCTAGACATGCACAGTTACAACCATTTTATACAAACAGCTCAGAAAACATTAAGAGACGACCACTCCACATGTTTCTTAAATCTCAATCTACATGTATGGCAGCCATTCCATTCCAGTGTCTGTTGAATGCCAACACAGAGAAATGTAGCCAGTAGTTCATTGAGTAAAATGACACACCGGGGACACATATTCATGTATAAAAGACGTATAAGAGTGCATTTTGCATGATAGGTCCCCTTTAAATATGCTGTAAACCCTGTTGTTTGCTTACGTTCTCTCCAGTTGTGGTGTGGAGCTTCCCTTCCTGTGTCTCTGCTCCTCCGCTGGGGGCCCTTCCCGTCCTCCGCCCCCTCTCCACCCTGCCCCGCCCCCACCTGCCTCACCTCCAGACGGCCTTCCAGCTGAAGGCTCTGAACAGGACACGACTCAGAGGACACGTGGCCATTGGGAAAACCATTGGTCTTCACAACAGTCAACTGTAAACACAAAATGTGAAATATTGTATATGTTCTTATTTTTATATTTACAGATAGTGAAACTTTGAATCACTCTGCAACACTATGAGTTTGCTCTGTTCACTGCCTCAGCTGCTTCATACCTTGATGTTGCTGAGCTGCTCCACAGAGTCAACTGAGTCACAGAAGATCTCGCTCTCTGAGTCGCTGGTCAACACCACGCCCTCACACACCACGCCCTCACACACTCCAGAGTCTGCAGGAAAACATGGATTCAATGAGGAGAACACATCTGAAACAAGAGGGGCACGAGCAGCACAGTGATTAAAGGTGGATCAGTTACTCTTCTATATCTCCCTTCTCCACTGAGGCTTCTCATGTTTTACTGTAGCGGCATCGGCACAACGTCGGAGGCTGAACTGCAAATAATATATCAACGTGTCAACTATAATTTATTATTGAACATACTTGTGATTACAACCTGTTTTCTATCATTGTGGGAGCAACAAGTATCTCATTCAAAGCTTTTGGTGAATAAGGAATATGCCATAAGTATGCCTGATTAATGTTCTGCAAGGTGGAGTTTTATATAACATGTAATGCGTTCTTCCATTAAACACGCCATAAACAATTCATCTATTATTTATTTTGTTGGCTCTAAATCTTGTTATTGATTAGTCAGACTGGCTTTAGGGCTAGGCTAACGTTTTCCATGTAAGACAAGAGAAACCTCATAATATACAATCCTTTATCTACAGCAGTATGTCGCCAAACAATGTCAATGAAACTGCTCTGATTTACAGAGGCATCCTTATAGCCACGTTACTCTGGAGAAAAGTATAAGGGTGGAATAGCAACATGAGCACAGCTCCAACATAGTCCACCGCTGCTGTTGTTCTGAGAAATATTCACTCTGGAGTTGCAGCGATTGTCCGGTGCCTTGCCTATATATATATATATTAGGGCTGTCAAGTTAACGCGTTAACGGAAAAAAAAATTAACGTCACTAATTATTTTAACGCGATTAACGCATGTGTATTTTTGTTCCTCGGCCGCCCCGTAGTTTCAGAGCGCATCGAGTTTAACATACCATCTACAAGCTGATGCTGACAGCCCCGCTCCTGCTGCCCGCTTGAGGCAGACCACACTTCCACGCTCACCGGCAGGCACCGACTGGCTGTTGGGAGGACCGGGAGGGTGTGTGTATGTGTGGCCCGAGCGAGCGAGAGAGAGACCTTACGTGCATTGTTGTTGTTAGCATCTGGTGCTAGCTAGCTGCGCTAATGGATAGAAGGAGCTGTTTAAATGAAAACAGAGGAGCGACATTTCGCCACAACTGCGCCGAGCACTTTATGCAGGAAGCCAGACAGTGGGACATTGTACGAAAAGTCAGCACACTCAGCACGGATAGTGCGCAACATGATTGCAGCGTCCAGGCAACTCCCTGATGCAGAGCGTAGTGCACGCGCTGGGGTGTACGGTTTAACCATGTCCTGGATGTATGAAGGGCCAGATCCATTCGCAGCATGGTAAGCAAGTACCAGTGTCTTGAAGTGGATTCTAGCAGTTACCGGAAGCCAGTGAAGGGAGCGGAGGAGCGGAGTGGTGTGGGAACATTTAGGAAGGTTGAAGACCAGACGAGCCGCTGCATTCTGGGTGAGCTGCAGAGGTCGGATGGCACATGCAGGTAGACCAGCCAGGAGGGAGTTGCAGTAGTCTAGGCGTGAGATGACGAGAGCCAGGACCAGAACCTGCGTCGCTTTCTGGGTCAGCTGGGGACGTATCTTCCTGATGTTGTAAAGCCTGTATCTGCAGCAACGGGTTGTAGCAGCGATGTTCGCAGTGAAGGACAGGTTGTTATCTAGGGTCACACCCAGATTCCTTGCAGTCTGAGTCGGGGAAACAACTGAGGTGCCGATGTTGATTGTTAGGTCAAGAGTGGGACAATCTTTTCCCGGAAGGAAGAGCAGCTCAGTCTTGTCAAAGTTGAGCTTGAGGTGATGAGCAGACATCCACTGAGAGATGTCAGCTAGACAAGCAGAGATGCGTGCAACGACCTGGGTCTCTGAGCGGGGAAAGGACAGAATTAATTGGGTGTCGTCAGCGTAGCAGTGGTATGAAAAACCATGCGGGCTAACGACTGATCCGAGCGAGTTTGTGTACAGGGAGAAGAGGAGGGGACCAAGAACAGAGCCCTGAGGGACCCCTGTAGTTAATTGACAAGGGTCGGACTCAGACCCTCTCCAAGTCACCCTGTAGGTACGGTCTTTCAGGTATGAGGTGAGGAGGGAAAGTGCAGAGCCTGAAACTCCAAGTTTTTGGAGAGTGCGAAGGAGGATCTGATGATTCACCGTGTCGAATGCAGCAGACAGGTCCAACAGGATGATGATCACACACACACACACACACACACACACACACACACACACACACACACACACACACACACACACACACACACACACAATTTGTATTGTATTATTGTGTGAGAGAGGTTCCAGGTTGAATTGAGGCGAATATTTGTAATGTTCAGAGGTTGTTGTGTTTAATATTCATCAGAATATTTGTCATTGTTCAAATGATAATAAACATTAGCATAAAGCATATTTGTCCACTCATATGTTGATAAGAGTATTAAAAACTTTAAAAATATTCCTCTAAGGTACATTTAGAACAGATCAAAAATGTGCGATTAATTTGCGATTAACTATGGACAATCATGCGATTAATCGTGATTAAATATTAGCCCTAATATATATATACATATATACATATATATATATATATATACATATATATATACATATATACACACACATATATATATACACACATATATATACACACATATATATATACACACATATATACACACCAGGGTTTCCGCTAGGATTTTTTCTTGCCGGTCAAATGTCCGGGCAGAATTTATTTTACCGGACACATTTGAAAATTACCGGTCATATTTCAATAATAATAGTAAGAGTTGTGTAGCAGAGTTTCCGTTAGCAGGTAATTACCGGACTATGAGCAGATATGCTTCAGTTTAAAACTCAGTTCACGGGGCTCAATTTTATATTGCTTCAGTTTATAATCGTAACAGATCAAAAAATTCAGATTCATTTTTCAATAAATTATTCCACAAACAACAAACAACATAATTATTACATTCAAACAAACTACTTGTAGTAGATAACGTACATTATTCAAAAGTTTACATTAACTTTGAATAATAACACGGGAGAAACGGATCCTCTCTTTTCCCCTATCCCTCCCTCTCTCCTGACAGCCCGTCAGTTTCTCATGCAGCTCCTGCAGCTCGCTAAACAGAGGCGGGGCTTCAGGTGATTATGCAGAGCTGCGTGTCTCGGTCTGACTCAGCAGCTGATCTGATCCCTCTCGCGTGTCCGGTTATACTTCACTCGCGTTTATGTCCATATCGATCAGATCCAGCTCTCCTGATCGGGCTTTATAGAGAGCACCGATCAAACTATTAAGAGTGAATATCGGCCGATAATGACCGGCGGCCGATCTATCGGAGCCTTCCTAATTATTACCAGACATTTTGACCGGCAGGTTTTGAATTTACCGGTTTTTAATAAATTTTACCAGCTAAAAACCGGTAATTACCGGCTAACGGAAACCCTGATACACACATATATACACACACATATATATATACACACACATATATATATACACCTATATATATATATATACACACATATACACATATATATATATATACACACATATATACTGTATACACACATATATATATACACACATATATACATATATATATATATACACACATATATACACATATATATACATATATATACACACACATATATACATATATATATGTATATATACACATATACATATATATACACATATATATATACACATATATACATATACACACATATATATGTATATATACACATATACATATATATGTATATATACACATATACATATACACACATATATACATATACACATATATATATATATATATATATACACATATATACATATACACACATATATACATATACACATATATATATATATATATACACATATATACATATATATACACATATATATACACATATATATATATATATACACATATACATATATATACACATATATATACATATATATACACATACACATATATATATATACACATATATATATATGTATATATTATATACACATTAGGGGTGTAACGGTATCCGTATTCGTCCCGTACCGTCACGGTTCGGCACATGCAGTCACACGGCGAATACGCCTTTTTTTACGAGTGGGAAAAAAGTCTGTCACTCAGGGCAGTATTACACTATATATAATCCAGGGGGCGGTATTGTGCCTAAAAGCCAGCACATAACAAATGAAGAACAAGAACAAAAACAAAACGCAACAAATCGAACACAATACATGAAGAAGAACAGTTAGTAGCTACGGCGAGTTCACACAACACACAGGAGCTAGAAGACCCACCTGCTTCTTTTAAATCAGGTGTGTGGGAACATTTCGGGTTCCCTGTGGACTACAACAATGATGGGGTGCGAGTTGTGGATCGGACGAGGACGGTGTGTCGGCGTTGTTCGACAGCGGTGCGGTATGCTAGTGGTAACACGTCAAACATGCTCAATCACATCCGAGTCAGTCTCAGTCCCCAGCGAGAGGGTTTTCTCGACGGCAGGTGACATAGTTACCGCCAACAGATCTGCCCTCACTACTGACAACGTAGACAAACTCATCTTTTTGAAGAACAACTTGAAAATAGAGTAAAGCTTGAGTACCTTTATTTAGGTATAATGGCCTCACACACTCACAAGTTAATTACACATTGCTCCTAAAGGTACAGATTGTATTTTGTTTTATATTTATCATTGTATTTATTTTATATTTTGACATCAGGAGATGTTATACAGTTCTGTATTGCCTTGTATTGATTGTGATTGAAACACTTTCTTATTATTTATTTTAATATTTTCAAGACGTTATTTTTAGTTGTACAGCTTATTTAACCTTTTTGTTTGACATCAGCCATTATAAATAATATGGCCATCTGAGTGTGCGTGTTACTGTTTGTGGTTTGTTTTTAACTGTGTAATACAGTTAATGATTCCAAATGTTAGAGTTCCATATTTTCATACCAAAACTTACACTACTGTTAAAAATAAATAACAGCAAAAACAATTATGCATTTGGGACTTTTTTTTAACTTTTCCTTGT